TTCATTTGATGGGAGAATCTCTATGGTTGCTGCCGTAAGTAACATCTATAAATGTATTACATTTTAAAGAGATTCCTTGATGTAACTGATTTGAAAAATCCTGGAAAATGGCCCGGGGATTTAGCTCAGTGGTGCTGTGCCTGCCTTGCAAGTGCAAGGTTCTGAGTTCAATCCCCGGTACCAATAAAAAAAAAAAAAATCCTGGAAAACAATTAGATTGTTTTATTGTGCAGTTTTGCAAAACTTAACATTCTCATGTTATATGAACATCTCCAGGAGGATCAGCAATGACACAGTGCTCTCCAAATACTTGCCCCTGGACATCCTTCCCCTTTTCTTAGTGTGTCATGATATTAGCATCCCAGAGAATACACTTGAAAATACTGCTCATTGAAAATATTTTAGTAAGCCATATACCAACAAATACAAATTAAAGTACAAGCCATGCATTAATGCTGAGAGAATCCATAGTAGAGAGCAGTCTATGGATTGAGTAGACAAGCTTTCTATAAACTTAGGTAATAATATGATTCAGGGATATACATTTTTAAATCAGAAATCTTTTGCTGAAAGATGGACTTTATAAAAGTCTATTATGATAAGTTAGTTTTAGAAATCTTAATTGCCTGAATAAAGCAATTAAATTCTTATTAAATGATTAGGTTCTGCACCTTCTTCAAAGCTTTGTGTGTGTGTGTGTGTGTGTGTGTGTATGTGTGTGTGGTACTGAGGATTATATTGAAGGACTTCATACTGAGCTACATCCTCAGTTCTTTTACTTTTGTATTTTAGACAGGGTCTTGCTAAATTGCTAAGTTGCCCAGGCTAGGTTTGATCTTGCAGGCTTCCTGTAATCACAGGTGTTTGATACCACATCTGGCTTGTTTTTATTTATAAATTAAATGCTTTGAGGTGGCATATGGTCTTGTGAATCCTTCAGAATTTTAATACAGGCTCAGGTATACTGGAGAAAATATTACAAAGAAGGCTTCTACATAAAAAACTCTTAGGACTGTGGTTATCACAATGAATTCTTTGTAAAGAATTAAAAGACTTTAAATGGTATGCTGTTTTCAGTCTTGTGAACAGATTGCTGATAATGCTGTAATTCTGCCTAGTGATTAAATATTACCCTTTAACTCCCTTACCACTTTCCCAGCTCAACATTCCTACTTGAGAAATTTAATGGAATGAAGTCCAAGTACTATAATGCAGAGATCAGGAAAATGGAAGGAAAATGTAGAGATGAGTTTTGCCACTTTACTAAATTCAGAGGTCTTGTCTTCATGCAGTTCATTAGAGAGAGCCTATTTAGTCATCAACTCCTGCACACTGTAAATTTCTAGTAATACATTCTCTATAACAGAATTATACTAAGCAGAGTCTTTTATTTGGTGAAACAAATATTTGTTTTAAAAACTAAAGAAATAATGGGGCTTTTTTGTTGGTTTTAGTTTGGGTAAAAGTGCATTTGTTAAGTTTCAGTAATGTTGAATATTTTTCCATATGTTTGCTATTTCTACTTCTTTGTCTGAGAAATGTTTGTTCATTTCAGATACCCATTTTTGGATTGGGTCTTTAAATCTGGGAGATGTGATTTTTTAAAGTTCTTTATATATTCTAGATAGTAGACCTTTGTCTGAGGAACAGCAGGTGAAAATTTTTTCCCACACTGTGGGCTGTCTCTCCACACTGCTGGTGGTTTCTCTTGCTGTGCAGAAGCTTTTTTTTTTTTTTTTGGTACCGGAGATCAAACTCGGGACCTTGTGCTTGCGAGGCAGGTGGCAGAACCACTGAGCTAAATCCCTGGCCCTCAGAAGCTTTTTAATAAGAAGAGATCCCACTTGTTGATTCTTTGTGCTAGTTCACATGCCACTGAGGTTTTGTTCATGAAATCTTTTCCTACCCCAGTGTCTTCAAGAGATCTATCTAACCTCTCTTCCAGACAGTTTAGTGTTTCTATTTTAATATTTAGTTCTTTAATCGACTTTGATTTTAGTTTAGTGCATAGTAAGAGCTATAGATCTAGTTTTATAGCAATTTTTTTGGTACCGGGGATCGAACTTGGAACCTTGTGCTTTCGAGGCAGGGGCTGGAACCACTGAGCTAAATCCCCTGACCCCTAAGGTTTAGTTTTAATCTTTGGCAAATTGAAACCCAATTTTTCCAGCACCATTTATTAAAGAGGCTATCTTTCACTGGTCATTTGAGAGATGCAAATGAAAACAATGCTGATATTCCATCTCACCCCAGAAAGAAGTTGTGCTATCATGAAATCAACCAATAACAAATGCGGCGGGGCTGTGGGGAAAGAGGAACCCTGCTCCACTGCTGGTGGGAGTGCAGTCTGGTGCAACCACTGTGGAAATCAGTATGGAGATACCTCAAAGAACTAAGATTGAAGGTCCCATTTGACTCAGCTATTCCCCTCCTGGGTATCTTCCCCAAAGAATTAAAAGAATCATACCACAGTGATATATGTGCACCCATGTTCATAGCGTCACACTTTGTAATAGCTAAAACTTGGAAACAGCCCAATTTCCCATCAACTGGAGACTGGATAAAGAAAATGTATTTTTAAAAAAATAAAATGGAGTACTACTCAGCCATAAAGAATGAGAAATTAGAGACATTTATAGCTAAGTGGATGCACATTGGGGTGATAGTCTTAAGTGAAATGAATAGGACACACACATGTGTAAATACCAAATAGTTTCTCTGGTGTGAGAAACTGAAAGTGTAAATAAGGATCAAAAAGGTATAATAGATAATATGAAATGGGAAGAAAAGGTCCAAAGGGGAAGGGGAAGTGGGAGGGTAGGGAAAAGTAAAGAAGGGAAAGAAAGAAATTTGAGAAAAGGAAAAAATGGAAACAAAGTCTGTGTAAATAGGGAGGGTAGAGGGGTTGAAGGGAGGGCAGGAGAATGGGGGAAAAAAAAGAACCAAGAGAGATTATGTAAAAGTACAAATTTTCAATGGTGAATGCCATTATATTGTATACTTACAATGTACCAAAAAATTAATTAAAAAAAAAAGAATTCTAAGAGTGTGAATGGACTTAATGCCACTGAAAAATGGATAAAATGGTAACTTAATGTTCTGCGTATTTTACCTCACTAAAATATAAAATAATGAAAAAAAATTTCAATAAGCAGTTTTAACTGGCAAGGGATTAATCAACTCTCAATGATTCATGAAAGGTTTTATTATGGATTAAACATTCTTTCTTGCTCAACACAGTCAGAATGAACCAGAAATACTATACTAACTTCATAAGCATAGGTCTACATGCTTTAAATGTTACACAAACTAATAAAATTAGCTGGGTGTGCTAATGCATGTTTGTAGTCCCAGCACTCAGAAGGCTGAGGCAGGAGGATCACCACGATTTTGAGGCCAGCCTGGGCCACAGAGTGAGTTTAAGGCCAGCCTGAATTAGAGTGAGACCTTGTCTCAAAAAACCTACACAAAACCCCCAAAAACCCAACAACAACAAATAAACAAAATTAACTGCACCTTCATTTTTCATCTCATAGTGCAGTTAATGAAGAAATTTACAGGTATGGCTTTTAAATTTTCAAAAACATCAAATGAAAATACTTTGTGAATGTAAAATTAAGCTCTCTAGAGTTTATCCAGTGGTAGGAACACAAATACTACAGGTTAAAAAATTGTATCAGTTAAGGCTCTCCATGGGAGAGAGTGTTAGGTTACACTCAAAGAAACTGATACTGAGCCAGCCTACAAAGCAAATGGCTATATCCCAATTTAAGAAAATAGTGTAAATACATGTCTTGTTTTGTCTTTATGGGGCTAGTTCACTAAAGATAAATAGAATGACTTTGAGATGCACTACTGAGTTATAGTTTATACAGAGTAAGGTTTCCTTTTTTCTTAGCTTTAGTGTATAGAAGGGAAAAAAGTCAAAACCTTTTCTTTTTGTTTTTTTTTTTTTGGTACTGGGGATCGAATTTGGGACCTTGCACTTGCAAGGCAGGCGGCGGAACCACTGAGCTAAATCCCTGGCCCCAAAACCTTTTCTTTTTGATCAGTGGTTCTTAATATTTTGAATTATGATGAACTAATATTAATATTTTGAATTATGATGAAATAATTGTGAATTATTTGAATTATGGGGAATTTTTAATCAGATTGTACAAATTCACTGCTTCGTTTTGTTTGGGTTTTTTTTTTGAGGCAGAGTCTCCCTTTGTAGCTCAGGTTGGCCTCAAACTCTCAGCAATCCAAGCGATCCTCCTGCCTCAGCCTCCCAAGTGCTGGGATTACAAGGCATGCACCACCATGCCTGGCTACAAATTCACTGCTTCTAAAGTAAGCAATTTACCAGAGATATTTGCAAACCTGAGTTATGAAAATTAGGTGAATTACCCTTCCCTATTATTTCAGCATTATCTTCAAACTGCATCCCTTACCTGAGACTATGAATCTGAGTTCACATGTGAATCTGAGTTCAAATGGAGACCTGAATGCATAAATCTAAGGTTTTCAAAAAACAATCAGGCAGGTAAGCAAAAAAAAGACACAAGAAAAAAATCTGACAATTGCTTTACTTACGTATTTTGAGACATGGTCTCACTACATATTTTAGGCTGGCCTTGAACTTACTACGGAGCTCAGGCTGGCCTCAAACTCGAGGGGATACTGCTGGCTCAGCCTCCCGAGTGCTGAGATTACAGGCACAATTGCTTTAAATTCACTACTAACACAAGAAAATACGCTACTCATTTGGGGCTTTATTTACATTTGTTTCTTAACTGGAAAAACAAAATGAGTACACACTAATGTACACAGATAGTCAAATAATAATTTACAAATGAAGTGGTACAAATTTTCATCCCAGGGGCTGGGACAAAGCTCAGTGGTAGAGTGCTTGCTTAATGTGTGTAAGGCCTCTGGTTAGACCCCCAGACAAGCAAAAAGCAAACCAAAAAACCCAAACCATTTGAATATTTTATAAATACCAGTAAGAGTTTTCTTACCTTCAGAAGTTCAAAGTAATGTAGGCAGTGGTAAACAGGGGCTAGAAGTAGCCTGGGTAAAACATATTGAACAGCTTCTTTGAAACCTTCGCCTATTGACTAGAAAAAAAGGTGATTTAATTTTTTTGAAGTTTACTTTTTAGATATTATATATCTTGATTTAAAAATTACTATACCTGCAAATAAAGTGCTGCCCCAGGCTTTGATAACTGACTAAGGAAATGATCATGAAAACCAGGTCGCAAAATATCTCGAGCATACGATTCATATGGATCAAATGCCAGTTCCTTAGAAAATAAAGAAGGTATTACATATTATCTTTCTCCAAAGTAAAACATGAATAACTTACCACCATAAACACAAAAGATTAAATCATAAGCACATCTATGGCAATGCAACTATATATTCCTTTAAAGCCTCTAAACAAAAATTATGCCTATTAATTATAATTTAATATAATAAAGTAACATTTTCAAGTAAGAGTAAATAAATTCTTTCTGTTGAATAGTAGGACCCTTCTATGCTGATACCTCTCCTTAAAGGATTTATGTACACCATAAGAGCAGCCAAAAGAGTGGGCAGACTTGGTTCTAGAACACAACAAACTAAGCTTAACTTGAACAACAATATAGATATCAACAACTAGGTAAAGTATTAATATTTGAAATTCTGATCCAAGACATTTACTTTCTCATAGTTTTTTCTTGGTGGCGGACTTTTACTTTCATATTCTGTAAATAAGAGGAAACAGCTTCTATCATCTAATATTCATTGTTACAGTTTTCATAAAACAAACAACAGTTTAACTTAAACTGCCAAAAAGTGTTACCATCACCATTAATATTGCCAATCATCAATAAATTAAATTCTAATAGCTATTTCTAAAAGAATACTAATGATTCCTAATGAAAGAGAGAATAGATATACTGATTTTTAGCAGGAGGACGGGGCCTCTCTACTCTCTTCAACCTGTACCCTATTCAGGTATAAAACTAAAATGGTCCTTTAGATTCTATTAGCTCATTTCCATAAAGGAAATTCTTTTTTTTTTTTTCATAAAGGAAATTCTAGAAAAAGGAACAGGGAAAAGTTAGAGGAATATAGCAGGAGCTGGGAAGGAATGATAAGATAAATGATTGAAAAATGTGGTGCTAAATTTATTACAGTAAAAAACACATTGCTATTTATCCCCATTAAAGTACTCTCCATTCTCCTATCGTTCAAAGCGAGGGGGTGTACTTTGATGGGGATTAATGGCAGTATGTTTTTTTAGGTAATCAATTAAAAAAAATATAAACACCACTGCTGGTGGTTTCCCTTGCTGTGCAGCTTTTTATTTATTTATTTTTTTGGTACTGGGGATCGAACTCTGGTCCTTGCACTTGCATAGTAGGCAGTGAAATCACTGAGCTAAATCCCCGGCCCCAGAGGCTTTATAATCAGATGAGATTCCAGTTGTTAATTCTTTGAGGTAGTTCACATGTGACTGAGGTTTTGTTTATTGAATCTTTTCCTTCACCTATGTCTTCAAGAGTTCTGCCTAACCTTTTTCTTCCAGCTGGTTTAGTGCTTCTGTTTTAATGTTTAGATCTTTAATCCATTTCAATTTTAGTTCAGTGCATGGTGAGAGATATAGGTCTAGTTTTAATCTTTGGCAAGTTGAAACCCAATTTTTCCAGCACCATTGTTTAAAGAGACTATCTTTCCTCCAGTGAGGGTGTTTGGGATGCACTCTGAGGCCATACTCTTTTTTGGGGGGGGGTACTGGGGATCGAACTCAGGACCTTGTGCTTGCAAGGCAGGAAACAAAGTCTTTGTAAATAGGGACGGGTGGAGGGGTTGAAGGGAGGGCAGGGGGATGGGGAAAAAATAAGAACCAAGATATATCATGTAAAGGTACAAATTCCCCCAAAAATGGATGTAATTGATCCTTCACAAGTCTGTCTCCTCCCTTGCTAATTTCCACAGGTAGTCACTAACCTGAATTTGAATTTTATCATTCCTATTTGTTTTTATATTGCAATTAAATATGTATCATGCATGCTTTCAAACATCACTTAAATACTATGTTTAAATATGAAATGGTCCAAAGACTCATGTATTGAGTGCTTGATCCCCAGTGCAGCAATGTTGAGAGGTGGGGCTTTTGCAAGGTCGTTAGATCATAGGGTGCTAGCCTCATCAGTGGACTAACCCACTGATGATTGCCTGGATGAATGTATGAATGTGCTGTTAGGAGACAGCCTTGTTTGAAGGAAGTAGGTCATTGGGGGCGTAACCCAGGAGGGTACATTCTTGTCCCCAGCCCCTTCTTTCTCTGCTTCCTGGCTGCCATAAATTGAGCAGCTCTTCTTTGCCATGTCCTTCTGCCAATGATGTTTGTACCTTGGAGCCAACCAACCACTGAATGAAACCTCTGAGACTGAGCCAAAACAAACTTTTCTTCTTTAAGCTGTATATGTTATGTATTTTGTCCCAGGAACAACAGGTGACTATGTTATTCTTCTGCAACTGGCTTTTTATACTCAAAGTTGTTCTGATTCATGTAGTTCCTTACAGTTCATTTATTTTAAAACCCTGTATAATAATCTACTTCATGAGTACATCATTTTTCTTTACTTTTTACTGAAGGCCATTTAGAAAATATCATTTTTTTACAATAATAAATACTTCTTTAATGAGCACTTATGTGTCTTATGCACATATGCATGAATAATTTTTAAACATATAAAGTACAACAGGGAAGTTGCTTATAATTATCAGCAGTGATCTGCCAACTGACCACTTTATTGCCAACATTTGGCCTTATTGAACAGTGTTTTAATAAAGATGGCAGTACAGATATCTTTTCAACATGATTTCATTTCCTTTGGATATATACCCAGTAGATTACTGGATCATATATTCTATTTTTAATTTTCTGAAGAACCTCCATAATTTTTTCCTATAATGACTATACCAGTTTACATTCTCACCTTAATGGTTTCTTTTCTCCACATTCTCCCCAGTACTTGTTATCATTTGTCTTTTTGATAACAGCCATTATAACTGGAGTGAGGTAATATCTCATAGTGGTTATGATTTGCATTTTTCCAATGATTACTGATGTTGAGCATTTTTCATATACCTCTTGGTCATTTTTTGTTTTTACTTTTTGAGTCAGGGTTCTGCTATATAGTTCAGGCTGACCTTAAATTCACTATGTAGCCTAGGCTGGCCTCAAAAGTGCAGTGATCCTCCTGCCTCAGCCTCCTAACTGCTGGGATTCTTGGATACTTTTATGTTTTCTTTAGAGAAAATTTATCTATTGTCAATTTTTGAATAAGTTTATGTATTAGTCACTTTTTGTTATAACAAAATACCTGACACTGACAACTTAAGGAGGAGCAGTTTATTTGGCTCATGGTTTCAGAGGGTTCAGTCCATGGTTAGCTATCTCCAAGACAGAAACAGAATGATAAAAGATCACGTGGAAAAAAGCTGCTCAACTCATGGCAGCCAGGAAGCACAGAGAGGAAGGAGGCAGGGACAAGAACACACCCTTCCAAGTCACAGCCCCACCTCCTTACAACATTCAGCTATGCACTCATCAATGGATTAATCCATTAATCCACTGATAAATATAATACTCCCATGATCCAAGATCCAATCAACTTCCAAAAGCCCAACCTCTAAACACATGAGACTTTTGGGGGGACATGTTAGCATTTTAGATCTGAAACATAACAGATAATTTGACTATTTTGTGTGTGTGCTATTGGGTTCCGTATATATTCCAGACATTAACCTGTCATCAGATGTGTAGTTTCAAATGTTGTCTCCCATTTGTTTATTTTTGCTTTTGTTTTCTGTGTCTTTGGATCTTATCCAAACAAATCCTAACCTATTCCAATGTCTGAAAGCTTTCTCCACTGTCTTCTTCCGGTATTTTTCAGATTCAGGTCTTATATTCAAGTCTTTAATCTATTTTTAGTGATTTTTAAATTTATGGTGAGAGAGTTCATTTCATTCTTCTGCATATGGATATCAAATTTTCCCAGAATCTTTTACTGAAAAGATGGTTCTTCTGGTATGTATTCATAATATCTATGTTGAAGATCAGTTGGTTGTAGATATGTAGGTTTGTTTTTAGGTTCTCTATCCTGTTCTACTGGTCTGTGTCTGTTTTTATGCCAACACCATCCTTTTTTACTACTATAACTTGTAGTTTTTTGGCTTTTTTGCAGTGCTGGGGATTAAACTCAAGGCCTTGCACATGCTACGCAAGTGCTCTACCACTGAATAACATCCCCAGCCCCATGTAGTATATATTTTGAAGTCAGGTAGTATAATTCCTCCTGCTCTCTTCTTTTTGCTCAAGATTGCTATTTGGGGTTTTTGTGGTTCCATACAAATTTTAGGATTTGTTTTTTTCTAGTTCTGTGAAGAATGCCACTGAAGTTGCAGACTGCTTTGGGTGATAGTATAGATATTTTAACAGTATTGACTTTTCTAATCCATGAACTTAAGAGATTTAGATTTTTTAATCTATTGAGAACTTCTTGAGAATAATATAAGCTACAGAATTAATTTTTTTCCATATATATAGCCAGTTTTGACTCAATATCAATTATTCATTAGTTTGTTCTTTCCCTACTGATTAATGTTATCTCTGTCACCTATCAGGAATGTACATGTATTTTTTTTCCAAGGCTCTCTATTCTACTGTCTGATTGTATAGATCAGCACCAATACTACAACTTACTTAACATTATAGCTTTATAATAAATCTTTTTTTTTTTTGGTACCAGGGATGGAGCTTGGGACCTTGTGCTTGAGAGGCAGGCGGCAGAACCACTAAGCTAAATTCCCGGCCCCTACAATAAATCTTAATATGTGATAGGACAATGGCCCTCAATTGGCTCTTGCTCCATATTGCTATTTTTGTCTCTTCATTCTTACACGTGAATTTTAGGATCAGCTTGCTATGTACTAGATTTATGGATTATTTTGGAGACAGCTAGCATTATTAAAATATTGAATCTTTCCATCATGTATTGGTATGTGCTTCTATTTATTCATATATTACTTATGAATCAAATTATGATTTTTCTTAACAAAAGTCCTGCATATGGGCTGGGGATTTAGCTCAGTGGTTCTGGAGCCTGCCTCGCAAGCTCAAGGTCCCAAGTTTGATCCCCGGTACCAAAAAAAAGTCCTGCATATTTTTAACTAGGTTTATTTGTGTGTGTGTTACTGTGGATCAAACCCTGGGCCTCATGCATGCTAGGCAAGCACTCCACTCCTGAGTCCCTAAATAGGTTTATTACTGAGTACCTTATAATCAAAAAGTGAATGGATCCTTTTGCCTTTAATGTTATACAGTGTTACCTCAGTTTATGAACTTAACTCTTTCCACAATTCTGGTCGCAAACTGAATTAGATGAGAACCGAATCAGATTTTCCCACAAGATCAACATTGAACCTAACCAATGAATTTGATTCCATTCTCATCCAGTTCGGTTGGGGACCAGAATTGTGGAAAGAATTAAGTTCATGAAGAGCTACCACTGTATACCCAATGAGTTGTAAATGAGCCAGTAATTCTATCAATTTTTATATGCTAATCTTTTATCTAGCCACCACACTGAATTTGATTACTAGTTCTAGTGATATATAAATTTTCTTAGACTTGCTACATAGACAGTTATATAGATTAGCAATAGGACAGATAGGAGAAATGAAGTGGCCAATAGGACAACTTGGCCTGTCTATTTCTTTTCTGTCTTTGTGCACCAGGCTGTACCTTTAATAGAATCCTAAATAGAAGTAATATAGCATTCTTTTCCAGTTTCTGAATTTCTAAGTTCTCCTGTAGTCTAGCCATTATTATATCTCTATATTTTTAAACAAGCTCAACACAGTGTTATAGTAAAAGATAGAGTGGATTTTACAGTGAAAAGAGCAAAAGCTAGAAACCTCAGAATTACTAGCAATGCTAACTTATTAGGACTAATTCATATATTTTAGCATCTGAGATATTCAAAGAGAAGTTTAGCAGATTTTCTGCCCTACGATACCTCAATCTTCTGGGCTCTGGACACAACTCATCCCTTTACTTCTCCTATTTTAAATAATATTTAAGTAGTTACATACTGAGTAGCTCACTTGTGTGAAGGTGGTTAGCTGAATACTTCAGATAAGTTATCTTACTTAATTTTCACAAAAATCTTGAGTCCTATTATTATCATCATCCTAATAACTTGCCCATGGTCACACAACTAATAAACAGCAGAACCTATAGTGGAATACAAGTAGTCTGACCCCAGATCCAAATACTTCATTGATTTACTGACTTTTCTTGGCCTTGCTATCAAAGGTTTTACAGTAGACCATTAAGTGTCAGTTGTCATGCCTCTCCACTGTAGGATCTGCTTTTTTTTATAAAGAGAGACCACTTTTTCTATGTTTGATAACAGAAAAAAATGTTGACAATAATAACAAGTTTAGTAGTTAGCAGTTAGTAATTATGATTTTGTCTATAAACAAGAATTATGGGGCCAGGGATTTAGCTCAGTGGTTCTGCTGCCTGCCTCACAAGCACAAGGTCCAAGTATGATCCCCAGTACCAAAAAAAACAAAAACAAAAACATGATTCCAAATTTTGATGCAGAAGCAGACTTACATATAGATTTCTTTGGTTTGGAACTGAAGTACTTACCTCTGCTAAGTCTTCAAAGCAGCTTCCTACTAAGGGATGGGGACTGCCTTCATCTGTCATTTCTACAGTATCTTCTATATGGCCCAGTAACTTCACACTAAGTTCATGTATATCTACTATCCGACTAAATATATTTTCAACATCCTGTTGGGAAGGGCAGAAGGAAATACATTAATTCAGTTAGGTATATAATGATAGACAATTTTTAGCTAGCAACTCATTTAATACTCAGAATTTAACATGGAAGATACACTGACACATGCACAAATGCAGTTAAGAATTCCTTTTGCAATGACGTACAGTGTACAAATACATTTCTCTAGTCCAGTGGTTCTCAAACTTTCTGTCAAAAGACTCAACACTTAAAACTTACTGAAGACTAGTTCGATTCCTGGTACCAAAAAAAAAAAAATGCCTAAAAGTTATTGAAGACTAAAAAGTTTTTACTTAATATTTATCAAGTTACCATATTAGAAATTAAGGGCCAGGGATTTAGCTCAGTGGCTTCGCTGCCTGCTGTGCAAGCACAAGGACTCGAGTTCGATCCCCAGTACCAAAAAAAAAAAAAAAAAAAAAAAAAAACATATCCACATGTAAAAAAAAAAAAAAAAGAAGTTAAAACCAGACTTCTTTAAACATGTATTTAAAAATAACAATAGGGCTGGAGATTTAGCTCAGTGGTTCTGCTGCCTGCCTCGCAAGGACAAGGACCCAAGTTCTATCCCCGGCACCAAAATAAATAAATAAAAAATAAAAATAACAATAAACTATGTTAACATAAATAATATTTTCATGAAAAAATAATTATTTTTCTAAAACAACAGCAGAAAATAGTATTTTTTTTACATTTTAGAAATCTAATGTTAAGAGAGGGCAGTAGGGTTTTCGTATCTATTTCTGCATTCAATGCGAAGAAAGTCTAGCTTTATACAGATATGTAATAGGAAAGGCAGGAATATTTTGATAGTCTATTCAAATAATTGTGAATATATTTTTCTTTTTCTAATTTTTTGTGGGGTTTTTTTTTTGGAACTGGGGATCGAACTCTTTTTCTAATTTTCCTGTTGGTATACTCACATATCATCAAACTTCCCTTGTAAAATGAACTTGGTGTTTAGTAATTTTCAGTATGTTTACATGGCTGTGCAGTCTGTCACATTCCAGAGCATTTCATTCCTCCAAAGACAGCCTAACAGATTAACACTCATTCTCTATTTCTCTTTTTTCCATCTCCGGCAACCAATATTCTACATTCTGTTTCTATGACTTTGCCTATTGTAGACATTCATATAAATAGAGTGAATATCCTTTTATGGTGCCACACCAAAATTTAATAAATGGTAATTTCTTTTTTCTTTTTTGGTGGGGATCGAACTCAGGACCTCACACTTGCTAGGCAGGCGCAGTGCCATTAAGCTACATCCCTGGCCCTAATAAATGGTAATTTCTTAAAGGTTAGTTGCAGTGTGGAATCTGAAACCATATGAATTTTAAACTGTCATATTAAAATTCAATGGTACTATTATTTGATTATTTTTACCCATGACTATAATTTCGGTCAAATAAACTTTGAAGTATGGTTCATATACACTGTATAGTAAGATACAACTATTTAAAATATACTCTTTGGTGAGATTTTATGTAGTTACTCATCCTTGTACTCACCATCATAACCAGGATACACAACATTTTCATCCCTGGAAGACTTTCCTTAAGCCCCTTCCCTGTCAACTCTTACTGTCCTCGCTCCTAGGAAACCAGCAGTCTTTTCTGTCATCAGAAAAATGTCTTTTCTAGAATATCAAATAAGTTGAATCATATCTAATCTTTTGTGTCTGGCTTCTTTGCTCATGTTTTTGAGATACATCCATGCATAACTACTGCATTCTTCTTTATTTCTGAGTAGCATTCTATTTATATGGGCACATCACAATTTGTTTATCCATTCACCTTTGGTGGATATTTGGGTTCTTCCCAGTTTTAAGCTATTACAAATAAAATTGCTATGAATATTCACAAGCAAGTTTTGTATGGACATATTTTCATTTCTTCTGGGTAAAAATCTAGTATTAGAATTGCTGGATGGTATGACTATATATATTTGTTACATAAAATTGTCAAATTTTGGGCTGGGGATTTAGCTCAGTCGTGCCGCCACCTGCCTTGCAAGCTCAAGATCCTGAGTTTGATCCCCGGTACCAAAAAAATAAGTCAAAATTTTTTCTAAAATGTTTATACTAGTTTAGACCTCATGGGCTGGGGCTGTAGCTTATTGGGTACTGTACTTGCCTAGCATGCAAGGCCCTGGAGTTCAATACTCAGTATCATGCTCCCCGCCCCCAAAGAAGAAATAATTATTACCTCACAAGTAATGTGCGAGTTTTATTTTTAGTTTTGTTTTTTTTTTGGTACCGGGAATCAAACTCGGGACCTTGAGCTTGCGAGGCAGGGGCCAGAACCACTGAGCTAAATCCCCAGACCTATGTGGGAGTTTTATACTCCCACAAGCAATTGCTCCACATCCTTTACAACATTTGGTATTGTCAGTCATTTTTTCCAGTCTTTCTAATGAGTATGTGGTAGCATTCTCTGTTATTTTAATTTGCACATCTCCATTGACTATGGATGTTGAGCACATTTTGGCCAATCTTTGTTTTTTTCTGGTAACGGAGATCGAACTAGGGACCTTATGCTTGCAAGGCAGGTGGCAGAACCACTGAGCTAAATCCCCGGCCCTCTTTGGTTCTTGATTTTTGTGTCTCAAGACATCTTTGCCTCTACTTTATATTTATTTTTTATGGAACTTTGCTAATATATAATTTACATATCATATAATTTATCCACTTAAAGGAGTTGAATTATTTTTAATGTCTTTATAAATTTGTGTGACTACTACTATAATCTACTCCTTATTTATTTTTGTATTGCTGAGGGTCAAACCCAAGGGCTCACATGATAAGCAAATGTTCTACCCTCTAGCCTTATTCTTTCATTTTTTAATGTTTACTCATTGCCATGTCTTGAGCTCAAATGCCAGCTTCTGTAGTGAGCAATGCTTTTCCATCAGCCATGTATGGTTGTAGGAATTATTAGTAGTGTAACCCCTTTAGACAACCTCACCTGTTTTCACTCAGCATTTTCTCAGGTCCCAATTAGGTTACTTTGATTACCTTTGTCATCCTTGTCTACATTTCAGTGTCACTGGTTCCTTCCTTTGTCTTCCAAAAAATATTGCTGTCATATTTCTATTATAGTTACTACCATTTTGTAATACAATTAAAATTTAAGTTTACATCACTATCTTGGCTAAACTTGAGGGAAGGAACTTTGCTTATTCCTCTTTGAATCCCTATTGCTAAATACAGTGTCTGAGAGTACAGTTGGCACTGATAAGCATTGGTTACATGACTCAAATGAGCCAAATAAAACAAAAATGTCTTCCATCTAAGAGAATTTGTTCTTAAGAGTACATGGAAGATTCTGTGAATTCATTTTTATTTACATAATCCCTACTTTAGTTTGTCTTTTAATTTCTGATGTGTAATCTCTTTAAACTGTTGCAGTGCTTTGTGATCATGAATTAAACTCCACAATTAAAAAAAACTGACAAATTAGTAAGCATGAACTATACAAACTAAAATTTGAAGTGGTCATGCAAATTTAACAACAGAGTGACAAACACATATAAAATATACTTACATTAGCTGAAAACAATTTGGAATTGGAGACAAAGGGCTCTCTAAAAACTTTTATAATTAGATTTAGTTCCCTTATATATTGTCGAATTTCTGCCATAAATGCTTTTACCAAATCATAGTAAGTTTGTTCTCCTGAGGTGGAAGGCTCTTCATCCGTTAAAGATAATATATTTATATCTTCTACGTCTTGATGAAACATATCCATCAATACCTATATAGTCAGATTTTTAAAAAGTATAAAATATTAATCAATAGTCAAATTAGAAGGCAAATGCCTAAGAAGTTCTTTGAATAAAGTTCTTAAATGATATAAAAGCAGGTATACAATTATCTTCTTTTGGCTATATTGCTACCACCTCTTCACAGCTTCTTTAAAGTATCTCTAAAACAGAATTGTATATCTGATATCACACATGCCTCCTACAAGTTCTCTATCAATAACTAGTATGTCTGTCTCTCTTGCTAATCTATTACTTCTAAGTTATCCCCAAATTCTGTACTGAATTTCTCTCTGACTTGGTGTCCTTTGTTCTATATCTTTCCATCTTCATTTTATTCCATGCCCTCACTCTCATATTTGAGTAATTCTTCGAGTTTTCTAGTTGGCCTCTTTTGCTACATTTGTTGGAGATAAAAGAAACCCTGTTTTCTCCAAAAAAGTTTACCATTATTACTCTTGGTGAAACTCATCATTCCCCTTTTTGTGAACTTATGGCTGAATCATATAGATAAGATCACCTGCCTTAGAGGTGTTTTTTTTTTTTGGTACTGGGGATTGCATTTGTGAGGCAGGTGGCAGAACCACTGAGCTAAATCCCCGGTCCCTTAGAGGTGTTTTATAATGATCAAATGCAATAAACCAAGTGTATGCCTAACTTTCAATAAATTTTCTCTTAATATTGTTATTGAAACATCATGTAACCAACATTTAAAGCTAGATGTTGAGGGCGAGAGATTTAGCTCAGTGGTTCTGCCGACTGCCTCGCAAGCACAAGGTAAGGAGTTCGATCTCCGGCACACACACACAAAAAAAGAAAGCTAGATGTTGAAATAAATCTATTAATATTTTTATATTTTCAAAAATTGTTTTCAAGTAAATCTTCCAATTAAAATAAAAATCTTAAGAAATTTCACTATTAAGATATTATTACTATAATTAACCCTAGTTAAAGTAATACATAAGAAAAAAAACATTTTTAAACAGATGTTATTATACAGCTAGTATCTTATTTCCATAAACTGTATCCTGAATACTTGCTATTAATTACTGACATATCCTCCAACACCCAGTACTGAAATATCACCCAACACATAGAATACTTTTACTCTGTCTGAACAGTAAGTTAGTGTCCAATAGATCACAAACAAGAACATAAGCATAAGCTGAGTGTGGTGGCACAGCCTGTGATCTCAGTTACTAGAGAGACTGAGACAGGAGGATCACAGTTTGAAACTAGCCTAGGCAACTTAGCAAGACCCTGTCTCAAATAAAAAAGGTACTAGAGATGTAGCTCAGTGGTAGAGCACTTTCTTGGCATGCATAAGGCCCTAGAGGTTCAAACCCCAGCACCACCACCAAAAACAAAACAGAAGCTTGGTTTCCTACCTTATCAGCGCACATTGCCACTTTAATATCTTGTTTTGTAATTTCATAATGTCGTATATTTCTCACATAATTCCCCACCAGCTTTAAAATGTCTGCAGAAATATATTCTAATACTGCTACTATGTAAACAGAAACTTGGTGATCAATTTTATAACCTAGGACCTCCTGCAATTTAAAAGCAAAACATATTTAAATATATTGTAAATTTAACACACTGATTAAAAACACAAAACATGCAGCTTAGCTTAGCTTTTACTGAAAACTGTTGATTGCTAAGCTATAATTTTACTATTGTTAAGTGGTTCAATTATGAATAATACATGTATTATGACTGAAAAATATAAAGTAAGAAAAAACAAGGCAAAACTACTCCTGTTCATATATACAATATTTGAAAAGTATACATTACTAAGTAGATAATCCCTAACCTAGTAAGAGAAATCCAAGTCTGGTGTGGCAGAGCAAGTGCTCTTTGTTACCTAAGAATACCTGGAAGTAACTACAACAAATGAGTTTTTTCTTTTACACAATAATGAATTTATTACTGGTATCCAGGAATATATCTATTAGTCTTACACTTCTATCATTTCCAAAGGAATTTGGGCTCCCCCAAACTCTCATGACACATTCCTGGTATCCCTAGCTGTTTTATGAAAAAATTCATGCTATGTCCTACTGAACAATGAGCATATTAGATAGTCCTATTATTAGACTTCAAAGAGACTGTGGTCTTTTGTGGAGCTGACTAGTTCCTAAAGGAGAACAAATTCTAAATAATTCAGTTAAGGGGGAAAAACTTTGAAATAAGTTCACTATAAATTTGGGTCAGACTGCATTTACCTTTCAGGGTATGTAAAAGCTATTAAATGTATCATGATAAAGCTATATCAATAAGTTAAATGATATCCACCATTAAATTATAAAACTCAAAATTTGGAATGATTAACATGCACAATCAACGTTAATTCTCTTAGATTCTAATTCAAAGTATAGTGAATGAAAATCTTGAAAGGGGAATTATAAAATGCAATTATTAATAATTTAATAATTTTCCATAGCTTGTAATTTCCTCAGAGCTGTCACTAGGATAAAGGTAGATATTTCTATTTAACCACCAAATGCACAATACAACTTTTGACAGCCTTAAATATCATCCAAATGTTTAGTCTTAAATCTTGTTTTATTAAATTTTAGAATTTTTACTAGTATATGTTTGCAATATATAATGTTGAGACTCATAAAAGGCAGTTAGTACGTGTACATAACACATCTTAATTCTTTTTCATTCCCGTGCCTCTCCCCTCCCTCCTCCATATCCCCATCTCTTGGTTAGTCTTAAATTTTGAACATTAGGGAGACCTGGATTTCCTAACATCAACACTAACACTATCACTAGGAGTACTGCGAAGTCAAACCAGGGAGTTAATCATTTTCTGTCTCTGCTATCTCATTTATGAACTAGAGGTAATAATAATAACTTTGTTAAAGAATAAAACTCAGAGACAATATATGCAAACATTAGCATTTTGTTTATATTAGTGTATGCAAAATTAATTAAACTCTAAAAGTATTAAGGTGTTATATTTATATATAGTTAATTATTATATTTTTGTTGTGAGTTAATCAATAGTTTGTTCATTATAGTAAATAAAACAGAAACAGTATTAGTAGGGTTTCCAGTAGTTATTCTATCAGTTCTATAGATTAAACTGACTGACTGATTTAAATGGTAAGTAGGACGGGCTAGTTCAGATAATCTTCAGGGAATTTCTGGGTTTTTTGGGGGCAGGGATTTCTGTTTAAAAGATTAGACACAGACCTAAGTCAGTTTCACAAAAGTTCCTATTTAAAATATTAATGTCCCATGTCCAGCCTGCAGCATTTTTTTGGTCCTTTCCCTTTTTTTGAGAGAAGAGGCTACATACAAAATATATAATGTATATAAGTAACAAAACTCTAATTTAAAATATTTTTATTTTAACGTTTAAAAGGTGGTGGGGCTGGGGAAGGTAGGCTGCAGGTCAGACACAGGACCTTAATATGACAGGGACACTTAGGTCTAACCAACAAACAGGGAGGGCTTTTATAAATTCTCTTGGTGGTCCTGATAACACCTGAGATAAACAAAATCCACAATAATTTTTCTTAATACCTTTAATTTTCTTTTTACTGTTGATATGGAATTAACTTAAATTGTGTTCCCCGACTTATAGTTTATCATCATATCCCTCCCCACCACATGAATCCCTAGAAACTTAAAAAGAATTTTATGCCAGTTGAAACATTCTTAGTATTTAAAAATGAGTAGGTTTTATTCTGCTTGTTAAAGGCAAGAAGGTAGTAGTATTTTAGCTTTACCTTTAATAAAGGATGAATTTTTTCTACTGGGAGAGATAAGGGGTTTCTCCGCTTTCTCTTTTCAATAGCTGACTGGGCATCAGCTATTGCCCACTTATCAATTGGATGAGGGAAACTTTTTTGCACACGTTCCTTGGAAAATAGAAAAATAACAACTAAGCAACAAATAAATGAAGTAGTGCTCTTTTCTTAAAATTTACTTTTAAAATCAAATGCCAAAAGTAGAACTTTTCACATATGGTATAGTTTGTTTAACACACTTAAGCTAAGAAAAGCTATAATTGTTAATGTTTTCATTCCTTAATCAAGCAGTTAAGAGACTAAAGCATTCTCTCTGCTATCTAGGGGGAAAATCATATCCTGAATTCCAAGTTTACTGTGACAAAGCTAATGACAAGAATGAGTAGAATCCACTTTAAATGTTTCTTTCATAAAATTTCAAGGAACTAGACCTAAGCTCAAGAACCATATATTTAAATTCAGTTGTCCTTACTTTCAATACAAATTACAAACTCGAGTAGCATTTTGCAATTGAAACTTCCAAAAAAATTCTTTATCATGCAAAAGTACTTCAAAATTATTTATAAGTGGAAATCAATGATTTACATTGATATCTAATTTTATTTTTTATTTTTTAGTAACTAATTTTAGTACACTAGTTTAAAATTCTCCATAGGTCCTTGATTTTTAACAAAATGATTCAATTTCCTATGTAGCAGTTGTTCAGTTAAAATTTTCAGTGGAACAACTCAAGTTAGTATAGCAGCTGAATTTCCTTACTCTAATAAACTAATATAATTCATTTTAAATTCATTTAAAATAAAAAATGTAATTCATTTAAATAATAAATATCTTAAATGCTTTTTTCATCCTCTCAAGGTTTTATTTTTTGATTTTTGAGACAGGGTCTCACTATATATTCCAGGTGGGCCTTGAACTCACTATGTAGCCCAGGCTGGCTTCAAACTTGCAATGCTCCTGCCTCAGCCTCCAGAGTGCTGGGATTACAGGTGTGAACCCCAGGCACTGCTGCAAAGTTTTAAAACTTAACTGCAAGATATCACAATTTATACCAGTAGAGGTCGCTATTACACAGTTTTTTAACATTTTAACACAACCAGTAGTGTATCAAAACTAGCTGAAATTAAACATTACTCCTTGATTGTAAGCCTAAATAAAAGGTTTTATCAGTTGCTGTTAAATAAAATAGAGACTGCCATATGGTACTCTAGGAGTAGGATGGGGAGGAATACAATGATTCTATGACATGCTATGAACAAATTAATGTTAGGAAATTTAAACCATTCTTCATCTATGTTCAAGGTTAAATCAGCTGCCAAATTTAAAAAATAAACATTTCAATTCTAATTAATGCAACTGTAAGTGTGTTGAAAGAAACTGTAGTTAAAATTGGAGTTAAATCTTTTTAACTGCTTTGCTGAAAACCTATTTGTCCAGATGCCGCCGTCAGGTACATGGAACAATGCAAAACAAAGGTTCAGAATATGCGGAAGCAAGGGCAGGTGAAGAAAAGAGCAGGGAAGGGGAGCATGTGAAAGGAAGGACAAAGCAGAAATTATTTTCTTTTATCCAGGTCAGTTCTACACCCTTGCTAATCCAACACTGAGAAGGGATTTGAGACTAAGGTTTTTTAATTAAGACATTTACAATGATGGGTTTAGCCCATGGTTAACCAAATACATGGTTATAAACCTAATAACAGCATGGACCTGAAGCTAACATTTTTAAAAAATTCAACTCATTGTAAAAGAAATTCTCAAAACATTTTACATTCTACTCTCACACATTACACATATACTCACTAAAACAGTTTCATAAATAAAACCTGTCCTCATTATAGGAAGGACATTAGTTTTTTCTCTTTTCTTTTTTTAAGATGATGATTGGGTCAGTGCCTGTCAACTGATAATCCTAATAACTCAGGAGGCTGAGGGAGAAGGGTTCAGTGTTCAAAGCCAAGAGGCAATTTTGTAAGACCCTATCTCAAAATAAAACTTTTTTAAAGGAGGAAGGAGATGTGGTTCACTGCTAGAGCACTTGCTCAGCATGCACAAGGCCCTGGTTCAATCCCCAGAAATAAGGGAAAAAAAAGTTTGTTGGGCTATGCACCAAAGTGATTTTCTGATTATAAATGGATCATGACCTGGATGGAGTCTTAAAACTCACTCATGTATAGTGGAGGTAGAAAAGAATAGAAGCTGAACTCAAACTAACCATTCTAAATAGATTTAACACATGTCTGTTGGAAGGGGGAAGAGTGTCAGGTCATATTAAGATAATACTTGAAGAGCTTGCTAATTTTAGGGATCTTATTATTTTTAAAAGAAAGCTCTGTAAGTGTATTTTTAAAATATTGGATCCTAATGGAATGAGGTAAATGAAAAATTATTTCCAGACAAAAGAATCTAAGACCCATTTGCTATGATCTGAAATCTGTGGTGAAACCTAATCTTGACTGTGGTAGAACAGGTGAGTCCTTTAGGAGGTGAGGAGGTCGTGAGGGCTCAGTCCTCATGACTGGGATCAGGACTCACTAACAAAGGGCTTGAAGAAGTCCCCTTCAGTCCTATGAGGACACACAAGGAGAACAAGCCCTCACCACACACTATCACTGGCACCTTGATCTTGGACTTCCTGACCTCCCAGACTGTAAGCAATAAATTTATGCTGTTTACAAATTTCCATTCTAAGCTATTTTTTTCTTTGGTTGGTTGGTTTTTTGGTACCGGGGATCGAACTTGGGAACTTGCGCTTGCGAGGCAGGTGCCAGAACCACTGAGCTAAATCCCCGGCCCCATTCTAAGCTATTTTGTTAAAGCAGCCTGAACATACTAAACACCATTACGCTTATCTCAGTATCTCATCTCCATACTCTCTGTTCTTATCTAAATACCTTCCCAGAAATGGTATGGGAAGAGAAGTAGTAGACTAATGATAAAAAAAAGAATCAATCATTTCTATCTATTCTCTTGAGGGTCAACATTCCAACATATAAAATAGGAGAAATAATAAATACCTCATAGGGTTGTGGTAAAAATATAAAAATTTATGTAGCAGTACTTTGAAATTACAAAGCCTATGATATATAGCTAATTGATATTTTTATTGCCATCATACTGTTACAACATATGCTTTTAACAAAAAATCCATCCCCAGCCCCAAAGCCAACTCACTGAATCCCATATGGCTGCCTGTATTTGTAAAAATAATAAGGCAGAGAATAGGCTACATATCTTAGTTATCTCAGAAGTTCTCTTCTAAGAGAATATTAAAAAGCTATGAAATATCTTTTATTTAGAGTCTTGAATGTAGATATTAAGCCTATGCAAGTGGAAAACTGAAGGACTTATCCTTATTTCTGAGAATTCATGGAAATAACTTCAATATTAGGAAGTGATATATTAGACTCTATAAAGTAATTACAAGGATAAAACTGAATGAGCACAGTACTGTACAACATATCTGGGAAGAGGTAAGTTTGAGTATGCAGTGTCAGCAAACTAATAAATTCCTAGAGTGTACCAACATCAGAATAATAAGATAAATCCTATAACTCCATTCTAATACACTAGACATAGGTTGGATACTGTGTTTATAAACACTGTAGGGAACCTAATAGGAATAGTTAATGAGAAAGTCAGACAAGTTCTCTGCAAGATTCATTCTGTGAAGCCCAATGTAAATAGAAGGAAATTACAAATAAAACTATGACTTTATAATTCAGGGGGGGAAATGTACGAAACCTACTCTGAATTACTTAAAAAATCAAAGTGAATTACTATTCCACAATACACAATCTTTCCTACATCTACAACCTCTGTAATTCAGTATTCCTTGATACTTCTTTGCCTCAACTGAAATCTGCATCTCCCCCAGAGACTTCTAGAGTAGGAATTCTTTATCCTACCACCCACAGGAAAGGTTCTATATGCTGCTTCTAGAACATCACTCTCCTACTCTCATGTGAAGTACTGCCATCATCCTGTGTGACTTTGTTGCCTGTATCAAGCACATATGAAATACTCTGTAAATACTTCACCTTGGGGACCTTCACCTCTGGTTCAGCCACCACTATAGTTACCAATGAAATCTTAAATTCAATAGCTTTCTCTGGTCCCAATCTATTCTGCTACATTCACTCAGATATTGTAGCATTCTCAGTTCTCTCACCAAGATTAATGGAATTATCCTTGGGATACTAACTAGCTTTCCCAAATAAAAGAAATATGTGGACATATTCCATTCTTTTTGGCGGGGGTTACCGGGGATCAAACTCGGGAACTTGCGTTTGCAAGGCAGGTGGTGGAACCACTGAGCTAAATCCCCGGCCCAATATTCCATTCTTAAAGGTATGAGAATTATCACTCTAGCATCAAGAAATTGTTCATTTTAGCATAAAGGCAAAATATGGACTAATTTCATAGCTAAAACATATACAGGTCATCATATACTCAATATTAAGTTTAAAGAGATCCAGCTTTCACTTTCTTATATCACATATATATATATATATATATATATATATATACACACATACACACACACTATCTTATATCATATATACACACACTTTGTGAAATGAAAGAACACTCCCTTCACTGACATTACAAAAAACACATAGATGTATATATTAAATACAAGGCACAATTTGTCATACCTCTACATCTGAAGCACTTCGGGGCTGAGCTTGGCAGAGCATATTTAATAATTGCAAAATTAATTCTTCAACATACTGCAGAGCATCATCATTAGACTCAAGAGTTGGATGAACCTGCCCCTGGACCTATAAACAAAGGTAAAGTAATTAAAATGTGGGTTTGCTTTAAGAAGGGGAGCCATCCTACAAATTCCGACTGAACGTTATTGACCCAAAAGTTGGGAGTTCTCAACCTTTTCTCCCCAACCACATACACTATCTATACATGCTTTGGAGATCCAGATGCTTTGAGAGCCAGCGGCCTAAGTGTATGATTTCACTATTTTTTCTTACTCCATGGTTGAAGTGAAATGCAGCAATGGGAAGAGGGAAGGAGAGGCTGAAGCGGTGATAAAAGATACAGTTTATGTGTGCTTTACCAAGAACCAGTTAGAACATTTTTTCAATATTCTGCTGGGGCAAAATTGACCTCCTATTGGCCTGTGTCTCTTGTTTAACTCTTATCTTTGCTACTAACTGATAAAACCCAGGAGTGCATATATCTCATTGTATTTACTAATGTCCTTTCACCATCTAGCACTATGCAGGGCACACATGATACAAACTTGATAAATGTCTGTGAACACCAAGTCACCCTCTATCAAAGGACACAAATTCGACATTCTTAACAATTTGTGACTTTATCTACTACTCTATAGGACACTTGCTTAGCATGTATGAGACCCTGGGTTCAATCCCCAGCACTGCAGAAACAAAGAAACACACAGACACACGCCCCTTACACTGTAAGATGGTTGCTTAATAATCTTCACCTTTTTCCTTGTCCATTTTTTAGAGACACTTCAAGCTACTGACCTGTATAAAGCTTTTTTTTTTTTGGTAGCAGGGATCGAACTCAGGACCTTGCACTTGCGAGGCAGGCGGTGGAACCACTGAGCTAAATCCCTGGCCCATGCTTGTATTTTAATAAAATACAACTTGCATCCCTTTATCACTCACAATGGTTCAAAACTTCCTCACAAAATAAATGGCAAGAAAAAAGTTTCTAGCTAAATAATGCATATTTTAGACTGTTCTACTCCCCAAAAGGTGGTGTAACACTTAATGGATGATGGTGTATAATACATATCGGTCAAGGGCGTTCAGTGGGGACTGGCCTTCTATATCTCATTAACTGACAGGATGATAATCACCATGTAGGGGTATACTGTTAAAATTTCTCTGACTTTTAAGACCTATAATTCAAAGTATGTGATTATTTCCACCTATTCTACCAACATAAATTTAACATTAAAGAGAAAAACTTATAAAAGTTAAGCAGGAAAAACTATCACACTCAGAAGGTACTGAATATTTTTCAAATGAATACACACTTGTATACATATTATACATACACACAAATATTGCCCTTAGCTTCACTAAAATGTAGTCCTAAAAATGCAGCTGTAATATGGGTTACATTTCTCTCTAAGGCCCTACATCACATAAACTATAGCTATAGATTTACAAGATAACACTTTTAGAATAAATGGGATTTTAAAGGTCATTTAACTCAGCCCCTCTGTTTAGCGGATGAGATAAAGAAGATACCAATAATCCAACTGCTAACTAGTAATACTGCTAAATATTGAACCTGGGCCTGCTGGGGTCTAGACTAGAGCTCTTTCCAATAAAACTTTCACTACCAAATCTGGATGAATCTGGTGAGTATCCTAGTAGATCCGCAATATAGGGAGGGTGTGTCCATTGGCTGTACCTTATTTATTAGTGGGCTTCTAAATAAAACTTGGCTAGAAATATGTTTCCATACTTTAATACCAATAGGTCATAAATGCAAATTGAGTTCTGAATCTTTTAATGTGAAAAGGTAAAACGATCATTGATTACACAAAGGATTCCAGTGGTTATAAATTTTTTTCACTAAACACAGAGCCATCTTAGGTTGTTCTTCAATTTGCACTTTCTGCTGAAGCAATCTGAAGTGTTTGTAGCTCCTGAAACATGATGTGTAGCTTCACTTACACAGCTCTCCAGGACTATCATTCGTTCTCTTAACCTTTCATTTTCCTCTTTGACTTTTTTTTTTTGGTACCGGGGATCAAACTCGGGGCCTTGCACTTGTGAGGCAGGCAACGGAACCACTGAGCTAAATCCCTGGCCCACCTCTTTGACTTTTAAAACCCAGATTTTACCTCATTTTAGGAAGAATTCTGTTTCTAACCTAAGGCAGAATTAACCTTACTCATTTAAATGATTACTACTGAATCTATTACATACCAGATCCTCTGTTAGAGGCTGGCTACACAGGAACGAGTCAAACATAGTAACTACTTGCATGGGCCTTATACTCTGCTCTCTGCCAATCCCTATACCAGGTAACCACACTTCTTTACTGGGTTTATCACACTGAATTATAATTACGTGTTCCTTGTCTACTTTCTGTATTGTATATTGATTCTCTAATTGGGCAAGACCTATGTATTTACAGAACATTTTTTTCTTTTTACTCCAAATCCTTGACACTGAGGAAATACCGAAAGCCTCTGTTGTACAAGTGAGGAGCAATAGAGCTAGAGGATTGGTTGGTTAGTTGATTTCAGGAGCATAAGCCCTTATATTAGAAGCCATTACACATACAAAGGCAGGTAGAACTAAACACAGGTTTATTATTATGCAGAATCAAAGACATTTTATATAACCACAGCAATGGAATGCAATGGTTAAAAACGACAATTTGATACTTGTATTAGTCAGCTTTCCTGTTGCTGAGACACGATACCTGACACAACTTTTAAAACAGATTTAATTTAGGTCATGAGGGGGGAGCAATTCATAGTCAGCTCGCTCCATGACAGAAGCAAGTGATGGAGCAAAGCTGTTTAGTTCAGGGTGGCTGGGGAACAAAGCAGAGGAACAGTGCCAGAGGAGTGGGCAAGGGACTGTACACAGCGCCCAAGACCATGCCTCCTGCACCCACTCAGATACACCCAGGAGCCATCCTTACTAGTCGGCCAGTAGTTTGTTTTCTTCCTTTCTTTCTCTTTCTTTCTTTCTTTTCTTTCTCTTTCTTTCTTTCTTTCTTTTTCTTTCTTTCTTCCTTCCTTCCTTTCTTTTTTGCTAGTAGTTTCTTAATCTGATGAAGCTGATGCATCAAGATCAATGGTCTTTCGATCCCCGGTACCCCCCCCCCGCGCCCCCCAAAAAGAAAGATCAGATCAATGGTCATAATGCTGCTAGCAATTCTAGCACATATAATTCAAATGTTGATTAAGTTTGGCAATTATAAAATAACATTTTAGGAATTCAAATTTAAACAGTTTTATGTATTGATGGGTATTAAAAGTCCAATACAACTTACTAGATAAATAAATCAAACAAAGACTTAGTTTGCTTAAACAGAAAATAATGTATCTGGCCAAATGTTGTTCTAAGCTCCTGGGCATTAACCGTTATCACACATTAAATCTGCCGAGTTAGGATCACAAAATTCATTCACAAGAGACCAATACTTTTACTTGCTTAAAAACTTTTAAAATCCTCTGACTGAAAAATACAGGCAATGGTCCCTGTTTAAAAGTCAAGCAGAGGGGCTGGGGATTTAGCTCAGTGGCACTGTGCCTGCCTCACTAAGCACAAGATCCTGAGTTTGATCCCTGGTATAAAAAAAAAAAGTCAAGCAGAGTGTCAATTCCTAAAAAAAAAAATTATATATATATATATATACACATACATACATATATATTTGGATACTGGGGATTGAACCCAGAGCCTTGAACTGAGCTACATCTCCAGCCCTTTCTGATTTTTATTTTGAGATGGGATCTTTTTTTTTTTTTTTTTTGGTACCAGGGATCAAACTTGGGTCCTTGCGCTTGCGTAGCAGGCAGCGAAACCACTGAGCTAAATCCCCGGCCCTTGGGATGGGATCTTGCTAAGTCATCAAGTTGCCTGTCCTGGGCTCAAACTTGAGATCTTCCTGTCTCAGCCTCCCAGAGTGCTAGGATTACAGGTGTGTGTCACCACAATGGACTTGATCTTTACTCTATCAAACAAAATGCTGCTAAGATGTTTCTTTAAGGAACAAACAGTACTATTATATTCCACATATAGATAGAATAAAAACACTTTGCTCTCATGAGTTAGTGTTATAGCTAAAGTGCTCTATCTCATCAAAAATGATATTCAAAGACATTTAATAGATTACAGGATCTAAACTGTTCAAGACTATGCAGAATAGGTTACCATGTCAAATGTTATAACAGCCTCTGGAAGCCCACTACAACTGATATTTACCGAATGTGTGTGTGTGTGTGTGTGTGTGTATTTATAAGCAATTACAATAAGCACATGGAACTAGGTTTAAACTAGATGTAGTTTTTAAAACATTTTATATTTATTGATACAGAAAACTTCATATACTTTAATTACAATTTATGTATAATAAATTCAAATAGTTCACTAAAGAATTAATGATAGCCATAAATAAGAATTGTATATGACCCATGACAACAATTTTTTTAAAGCATAAACATTACATTCAATTAAAGGTGCCACCTCTTGAATTTTAAACTTTTCCTAAATTTAGGATTACTTGGCTTCTATCTTGATATTTCTTGCCTCTAGTAATCCCTAGCAGATTCTGAAGCAATTTTATTGGTTTTATTGCCTCATTATGTAGAATAACAAAACAAAGGAATTCAGTCTATATCAATTCCGAGTTGTCTGACACACAAGTCCTCCAAATGTATTCAGGAACCCCTTGGGTAAACTGCCAAAAAACACTGTGTCAAATTCAGATGAATCTTTAATGCCTTTTCTAGCTAATGGCTCTCTGAACAATTAGAAAGGCTTTTAGATTATATTCTGTCATGTCTTAAGCCTAGTTCTGTTACTTTTAATTTTTAATTTTTGCAGTATCGAGGATCAAACTCAGGACTTGTGCTTACAAGGCAGGCACGGTGTCACTGAGCTAAATCCCCAGCCCCATTACTTTTATTTTTAATGAAAGAATTTGAAATGAAACTGGTGTTCTCAAACCCTTAAGTATTTCTGTTTAATCACTGATATTTTAGATGCTTATTTCTCTACACTCTTAAGGTTTAAATATCTCAAGGCAAAAACTGATT